AACCATAATATGTTTACTTATGCTGTGATGGATGACATTGGGTTAGTTTTGGTATGGGGCTATATAAAATACAGTATGTCTGTGTGCAAGTATTTTTGTGAGTTTATTTTGTTTTGTGAGTTTATTTTAAATTTTTGTAGTTTTGGGATCACATCTTATGGTGCTCTGTGGTTACTCCTGGTTCTGCACTCTAAATTACTGCTGGAGGTGCTCAAGGGGCCATATGTGATGCTGGGGATCAAACCTGGGTTGGCAGTGTGAAAATCAAAAGGCCCACCTGCAGTCTTATTGCTCCAGCCCCCTTCTGTATTTTTATGAATTTATGCTTTTATTTCATTTCATATATTCACCTGAATAAATATATGAGAGTGGAATTTCTGGATCCTGTGGGACAGGAGCGATAGCACGCAGGTAGGGCATTGCCTTGCATGCAATCGACCCAGGTTCGATTTTTCCGTCCCTCTCAGAGATCCTGGCAAGCTACCAAGAGTATCCTGCCTGTACAGCAAAGCCTGGCAAGCTACCTGTGACATATTCAATATGCCAAAGACAGTAACAAGTCTCACAATGGAGATGTTACTGGTGTCCGCTCAAGCAAATCGATGAACAGAGGAGGATAGTACCTCAGTGCTACAGTTCAAGGTGTGAATTTAGATTCCTTTAGACTAAAACTATGTGGCCACCCAGTCTTACTTTTCATCTACCATTTAAGAGATTGACATTTCTGCATTGTTTCAGAGGCTTTTGTTGTGACTGCTTTTTCCATTTCTTAAAAATCTGATAAATTTGATTTAACGCACTGTACATTTTAAGAGTGAAACTTAATGCATCTTCAGTTTTCTGATAGCATACCACATACTCCACCGAAGTTCTAAGTCTGTACTTTTGTTGTATAGTAGAGTCACTTTGGGGGCTGTGGCTGCTCTGGGCATCTCTGAAGCACGGGGGTGCTTGATCAGAGGGGCTCCTGGCCTAGGAGGCAGCCCCTGGCTGGGCCCATAAGGACCTTCCTTGGGATCCAGCAAGGAGTCCTGAATCTCAGGGCTGCAATATCCTTCCCTGTACAGTGAGCCCATCACTCCTATCCTGGCAGACAGCCCAAATCCCAGCCTGCTCTGCATTCCCTGGAGAGGAAGGAGCATCTGGCAGTGTCTCCCCCAGGTGGGGCTTTCCCTGGTACCCCAGAGTGCCTGTCATCAGGACATTTCCCGGTCCAAGGCAGGAGCTTTCCAGGTCAGGGGTAGAGGTTTGTCCTCTCTCTGCTCAACAGCTATGACTTCTCAACCAGGTCTTTGTTTTGGATTCTATTGCTTATCCTGGGACTAGCAGGCAGGAAAAAAATCATGCTGAGGCTTGCTACTGGAGGTTGTTTGCATGGAATATGAGTGAATTTTATTCTTTTCATGAAAACACGTGTGTGGAGAGTGGTCTCAGCATGGTTGTGGCTGGTTCTGGAGGTCTTCAGCTGCCGGAACTCTGCTCAGGGTGGGGAGGGAAACTCAGCCCCCTCCCCTCCAAGGGGCCCCGGTGAGGACAGCCAGGCAGGGGGGACAAGAGTCCTGGGTCCCGGGGCTGAGATCTCCAAGCCTGCTTGGATCGGGGCTGAGCATCCTCCACCGAGATCCTCCATCTTCCAGTAGGCAGGGATCACACCCACCAACTGACCCCCAGTGCTGTGCAATCCCATCAACAGCCAAGACCCAGAGACTATAAAATCCAGCTCCCAGAAGGGTGCGGCCACATTTGCAGCGGGATGACATTTTATAATCTCATTCTTACTTTGGACAATCTGGCAGGCTACCGAATGTAGCCTACCCACACGGCAGAGTCTGGCAAACTCCCTGTGGCATACCCAATATGCCAAATACCAGTAACAATGATAGGTCTCATTCTCCTAAACCTGGTGCATCCTTGAATATGGAACTTTTTTCAATCTCAGTTCTTGGATGATGGAGCCGTTACTGGTGCCTGCTCGAGGCAATCAATGAACAACAGGATGATCGTGATTAAATTTGGTGAATGTGATTTTTATAATTTAATCAATTAAATTGTATGTATATATAAATTACATAATATAATTAATATTTTAAATTAAAATTAAAATTTTATTTTATAAAGTAGTTTATAATATTTGATTACATTTAATATTCAAACACCAATCCCACCACCATTATACCTTCCCACCACCATATTTTGGCTGTTTCTATGCCAAACCCCAATCTCTGCCCCAGGACAGAACCAAAATAATGTAATGTTTCCCTCTATGGTTGGTTTCCTCCCACTTTGAATCATCATCAAATGTGGTGCAGTACTCTTGGAGTATGGTATGTCCTATGAAGTGTTGCATGGCTGTGAATGCGACCGAGTGGTCCAGGAAAAGGTTCACTTGTGGGTGAGGCTTGGCCTGAGTGTGTGGAGAGTGACTTTGAGCATGTCGGCAGTTGAGTTCTAGAGGTTTTTGGCTCCTGGGCCTGGGTCCCTTGGGGCAGAGAAGGGTCTCACCCATTCCTTTCTGGGGCACCCAGAGTGAAACAGCCTGGTGCAGAGTTTGGCAAGATGGTTATGGTGAGCGTCATGACATGATAAATTGACTTTTGTATATTAAAATTATATCCTGTAGGATTGCTGTGATCACTTAGTTCCAGAAGGATTTTAAATTTCCTACATAGACAGTCTTGCCATTTTGGTGGTATTTTCCTATAAATTTTAATCCTTTATTTTTTTCCCACATTATTATTTCCCACATGTGTTTCTTCCATGTGGTACCAGGGATCCATTTCTGGGCTTCACACATTTGGGATGTATCCTCTACCCCTGAGCCACGTGTCAGCTTCCTCCAGCACCAGTATAGTGGTAAGGAAGTGGAGAGGCAAGACATCCTAATGTCTTGTTCTTAATCTTAGCAGGAAAGCATCTAATTTTATTCTATAAAGTACTATGGAACTATAGAAGTTACATGTAAATTTGGGAGATAAATTCCTAATATAATTGCTCAAATCCAATAAGAACATACAAAGGAAAGAGGAGGCTTTTATGTAGATTATAATTGCTCCCATTAGGATCCTTAGTCATTATTCCAGGAGAATTCATGTTAATTGACTCTGATGGTGATAAAAAGAGCTAAAAATCTAAGAGAAGTTGTGAGTGTGTCATGATTCTGGAACACAGAACAGAGGGCTGAGACTATATATTGTCATGACTGAGAACAGCCTCACCAAAATATTGCCTGTCTCTTCGTGATCATCTTCCAGTAATTCCAGTGGGATTCATTACCATATTCTGTCCAACGTTTTCTACGTCCAAGGAGAAATCAAGTACATTAGGAGTTCCAGTTTGCTGTTCTCCTGGGTGCAGAGATAACCTGTGAATTTCTTTTCTTCTTCTTGAAGGAATTTCCCCTCTGAGACTGTATGTTGGATGTTCGGGTCCCTGGAGGATACTGGAATCATTTGTCTCCTTAGAGGTCAAAATCTTGTGAACAAGTCCAAGTATTCCCGTGCTTAGAAAGGAAGGAACAGGATACAGGTAACAAAGGGGATGAGACAACTGTTCACCTGTTGTCTCTAAGCCTTAGTGTGCTCACAGATCCTTCAGATAACCCAGATCCATCCTTTGTAGGAAAGCAGAGTGGAAGGCCTTTTCCTGAAGAGACACAGAGACTTCATGACACAGCTGGAGCAGAAACACAACTTTGACATGGTGAGACGAGGATTTATTTCTTTTTCAGTTTCAATAACTATCCTTTGATTTCTTTATTTAAAATTTTTTATTGATTAGACCCTGTAGCTTGTAATTTATGATGGTTTCTCATAAACATAATTCAATACCATCTTTTTAAAAAATGTTTGGTGTTGATACTTTAAAGCTAGACAGCAATTTACTGAGTAGATAATGTCTGCCCTTCAACTGATGGTGTGAGATGATCTCAAATTCTGTGAAAGAATGCATACACTCCTGATGCCATTCAAGTTAGTAATCTTCCTTTCCAAAAGCTTTCCCTTTGATGTGATATTACTTAGGGAGAATAGTACCACCATAACACTAGAATAGATGTCAGTATATCAATTATTGCTTTGCTTCACCTGATGTCTCTGAATTGGAGGACTGAGTTTTCAGTTGTTTTTGGGTGTGAAGAGAAGGCAGAAGAAAGAAATGTTTTTTTGTCTGGGCTGTAACGAGAATACAATGGGTGAGGCAGTGGTCTTGTTTGTACTGACCTTACATTTGATCTCTGGCATCCCAGAGGGTCCCCCAAGCACCACCAGGAGTAATTAATGAGTGCAGAGCCAAGCATAAACCCTGAGCACTTTGGGGTTTAGCTCAAAACAGAACATAACTAAAAGAAATGTTATCTTTTCTTCTTTCTTATGCATGTGACTTTGTCCATGGAAGCCACAATATACTGGGAAAGAATAAGATAAAGCAGAGTATTGACTCATTTGAATCCAAGAACTCAGAAAAATGTTGAAAACCTCCAAAACAAGGACTTTACTTCCCTCTGATCTACACCTTTCCAGTAAGATAGGGCTTCCCGGCCCCTTTAATGATGGAACTTGTGCGTTTGTCAAACTGCCTATGCATACAGAGGCCCTATGAAATCACAGAATAACTTTTATAGTACTTAACAAAATCTTAATGCAACCACTAATGAGGTACTAGATATATAAGGTATAATCCTGACCTATAGTTGCTGAGTGCCTGCTTGTTCCAGATAGCAATTTAATCTTTGAGAACACATATAGCAGCTTTGCTTCAACAGATACTTTTGGGCACAGTGTATTGATTTTGCTTCTTTATAACCTGAACATATAATTATAAACATAATTGACTTTTATCATAATCGTCTAAGTACCAAATAAATTAGGTAGTACTAAGATACATTCCATTTTCATGATTTTTATTTGTTTCTCAAAACTAAAAATTATTATTTCAAGGAACATAACTTGTGTAATTTCTATGGTTTCTCTTTTTCGTAGGCACACATGCCCTGTCTCCTGAAGGAAATGACCAGGTGCAATTATTCCACCGTGACTGAGTTTATCCTGGAAGGATTAACACACCGGCCAGAACTCCAGCTCCCTCTATTCTTCCTGTTTCTAGGCATCTATGGGGTCACTGTTGTGGGGAACCTGGGCATGATCCTCTTGATCACTCTCAACTCCAAGCTCCAGTCTCCCATGTACTTTTTCCTTGGTAATTTGTCATTCTTAGATCTCTCTTACTCCTCAGTTGTTACCCCCAAACTCCTAGGAAACTTTCTTTGGGAGAAAAATGTTATTTCCTACTCTGGCTGTATGACCCAGCTCTTTTTCTTTTGTGTTTTTATTATTGGAGAATGTTTCATGTTGACAGCAATGGCGTATGACAGGTACGTCGCTATCTGCAATCCTCTGCTGTACAATGTCATCATGTCCCCAAAGGTGTGCAGTATGTTGGTGATTGGGGTCTATTCCATATCTACATTGGGCTCTTTATCCCACACAGTTGCCATGACTAAGGTTTCCTTCTGTGGGGACAATGTCATCCGCCATTACTTCTGTGATGTATTTCCTCTTCTCAAGCTTTCCTGCACCAGCACCCATGTCAATGAGCTTCTGATGATCTTTATAGGTGGATTCAATGTGTTGGCATCTACTCTTCCCATCTTCATTTCTTATGCCTTTATTTTTGCCAAAATTTTTCAAATGCCTTCAACTGAGAGCAGGTCCAAAGCCTTTGGTACCTGTGGCTCTCACTTGACCGCAGTCGGGATCTTTTATGGCTCTACCATATTTATGTATTTTAAGCCATCCTCCAGCAATATGGCCCAGGAGAAGGTGGCCTCTGTGTTCTATGCCACAGTGATCCCCATGCTGAATCCCCTGATCTATAGCTTGAGAAATAAGGATGTAAAGAATGTGCTGAAAAAAGTCCTGGGGAAAATGTAAAGACCCCCATTCTGGCTCACTAGGATAATAGAAGCCCTGGCAGTCAAGCGTGATTATGTTTGCCATTACATAAAAGTAGAACCTATTTCTAAGGGTTACATCCCCTTCTCATTTCCTGCACCATATATATCAGATATTCCCCATTCATGTTTGTGTACGTACACTTCTTTACTGCTGCACACAGTTATACCTGATCATAGAACAAGCATTTAAATAATATTATGATTCACTTGGGTATTGACACTGACCAAGTCTTTTTTAAAAAAATTTTTTTAATTAGTGAAACACCATGAGGTACATTTGTAGGCTTACAAGTTGTTGTGCTTGGGTTTCAGTTACACAATGATTGAGTACCCATCCCACCACCTGTGCCCATTCTCCACCTCCACCATTACCAGTATCCCTCCCACCCACCCACCCCCATCCCCCATCCCACCCTGCCTCTGTGACAGGGCACTCCCTTTTGTTCTCTCTCTCTCTCTTTGGGTGCTGTGGTCTGCAGAAGAGACGTTGGGTGGCAATCATGTTCGGTCCATAGACTGCATTCAGCAGGCATCTCCCATCCTGGGCAGATCTTCCAAGCACCCTTTATTTAGTGCTCCCTTCTCTATCCGAGCTGCCTTTACCCCTAGAGTGTGCAGATGGCCTCTAAGCCATGGAGTGAACAACCTGGTATTTATCACAGCTGTTCTTGGATGTTAGTCTCATATTTTGTTACTTTATGTTACCCAGATGAACGCAATCTGTCCATGTCTCTCCCTCTCTTTCTGACTCATTTCGCTTAGCATAATATTTTCCATGTAGTACCACTTGCATGTAAATTTCATGACTTCATTTTTTCTAACTGCTACATAGTACTCCATTGTGTAGATGTACCAAAGTTTCTTTAACCAGTCATCTGTTCTCGGGCACTCAGGTTTTTTCCATATACTAGCTATTGTAAACAGTTCTGCAATGAACAAACAAGTGCTGATGTCACTTCAACTATACTTTTTAGCCTCTCCGGAGTATATTCCCAGGAGTGATATTGCTGGTCAAATGGGAGCTCAATTTCTAATTTTTTGAGAGTCGTCCATACTGTTTTCCAAAAGGGTTGAACCAGTCGGCATTCCTACCAGCAGTGAAGGAGGGTCCCTTTCTCGCCACATCCGCGCCAACACAGGTTGCTTTTGTTCTTTTGAATGTGGGCCAGTCTCTGTGGTGTGAAATGATATCTCATTGTTGTTTTGATCTGCATCTCCCTGATAATTAATGATGTAGAGCATTTTCTCATATGCCTTTTAGCCAGTCGGATTTCTTCTTTGAGAAAGACTCTGTTCATTTCGTTGCCCCACTTTTTTTTAATTTATTTTTTGATAGTGAGGCACCATGAGGTACAGTTGTAGACTTACACATTTTTGTGCTTGGGTTTCGATTATACAATGATCAAACACCCATCCCTCCACCAGTGCGCATTTCCCACCACCACGGATCCCAGCATCCCCTCCCCCCCCAGCCCCTATCCCACCCTATCTCTGTGGCAGGGCATTTCCCTCTCTCTCCTTTTGAATGCCATGGTCGGCAAAAGAGGCATTGAGTGGCAATCATGCATGGTCGACAGTCTACCCTCAGCATGCTCTCCCATCATGGGCGGATCCTCCCAACCCCCTTTATTTGGTGTTCCCTTCTCTTTCTGAGCTCCCCTTCCCCTAACATGTGTGGTTTCCTCTGGGTCATTGAGTAAAATTCCTGGTACTAATCTCTGCCATACTTGGGTGTTAGTTTCCTATTTTGTTACTTTATGTTCCCCAGATGAATGCAATCTTTCTATGTCTATCCCTTTCTTTCTGAGTCATTTCACTTAACATGATACTTTCCATGTAGTACCACTTGTATGTAAACTTCATGACTTCGTCTTTTCTAACAGCTACATAGTACTCCATTGTGTAAATGTGCCAGAGTTTCTTCAACCAGTCATCTGTTCTCGGGCACTCAGGTTTTTTCCAGATTCTGGCTATTGTAAAGAGTGCTGCAATAACCAGACAATTGCAGATGTCACTTCGGCTATACTTTTTTACCTCTCTGGGATATATTCCCAGGAGTGGTATTGCTGGGTCAAATGGGAGCTCAATTTCTAGTTTTTTGAGAATCATCCATACTGTTTTCCAGAAGGGCTGAAACAGTCGGCATTCCCACCTACAGTGAAGGAGTGTCCCTTTCTCACCACATCCGCACCAGCACCGGTTGCTTTTGTTCTTGTGGATATGGGCCAGTCTCTGTGCTGTGAGGTGATACCTCATTGTGGTTTTGATCTGCATCTCCCTGATGATTAATGATGTGGAACATTTTCTCATGTGTCTTTTAGCCATTCGGATTTCCTCTTTGTCAAAGTTTCTATTCATTTCATCTCCCCATTTTTTGATGGGGTTGAATGTTTTCTTTTTGTGGAGTTGAACCAGTATTTTGTATATCCTTGAAATTAACCCCTTATCAGATGTGTAGTTGGCGAATATCCTTTCCCATTCAGTTCACTGTCTTTGTATTTTGGTCACTGTTTCTTTTGAGGTGCAGAAGCTTCTTAGTTTAAGATAGTCCGATTTATCTATCTCTGTTTTCACTTGCTTGGCCAGCGGTGTGACATCTTTGAAGACACTATTAGCTTCTATGTCATGAAGGGTTTTGCCAACATTTTCCTCAATGTATCTTATAGATTCCGGTCTGATGTTGAGGTCTTTAATCCACTTAGATCTTACTTTTGTACATGGAGTTAGGCAGAGATCTGAGCCCATTTTTTTGCATATAGCCATCCAGTTTTGCCAGCATAATTTGTTAAAGAGGCTTTCCCTGCTCCACTTCACTTTTCTTGCCCCCTTATTGAAGATTAGATGCTCGTATACCTGGGAGGGGGGACGTCATTATATTCAACCCTGTTCCATTGGTCTACAGCTCTGTCTTTGTTCCAGTACCATGCTGTTTTAATTATTACTGCCTTGTAGTAGAGTTTGAAGTTAGGGAGGTTGATTCCTCCCATTTTCTTTTTCCCAAGAATTGCTTTAGCTATTCGTGGGGGCTTATTGTTCCATATGAATTTCAGGAGCGTTTGCTCCAATTCTTTGAAGAATGTCATGGGTATCCTAATAGGGATTGCGTTGAATTTATACAGTGCTTTGTCGTTGCCCCACTTTTTGATGGGGTTGGATGATTTCTTCTTGTGGAGTTCAACCAGTACTTTGTATATCCTTGATATCAACCCCTTGTCAGATGTGTATTTGGAGAATATCCATTCCCATTCTGTTGATTGTCTTTGTATCTTTGAACAAGTCTTTTGCAAAGTACTCTTCTGAGGTGAATTTTGTTTTTATCATTTTTCTTTTCTTTTAAAAATTATTTTTTAAAAATTTATTTTTCAGCTGAATCACCATGAAATACAGTTACAAAGTTGTTCATGATTGGGTTTTGTTGTACAATGTTACAACACCCATTCATTCCTGCAGTGGATTTTCACTGTCTTTATTCCTTTCGCCTTAAGGAGGACATGAACAGGACAATGCAAATCTGGTTCACATTTTGCATGTGAACGGTCAGATGGATCAGTGCAATTACACTGCAGTTCTACTCAGATTTTAGTCACATAAAAGATTTCAGAGTCTCATTATAAATCAACATCTTGTGCTCAAACACATGCTTTGCACTCAGGAAGTCCTGGTTCTGTCCCTACCTGTATGTTCCCTAGACTATCACCAGAAGTGACTTTTGAGTCCAGAGTCCAGAGCATTGCTGACTATGGATCAACAACAATAAGGAAATCATACACTAACATCTTTTGGTGGAGACCGAGCATATATGTCAGAATCAGTCTTGATTGAGGATAATATTAAGTAACCTAGTCAAATATCCTGTGTTAATGGGCTATGCTTATTCTAATAAGATATACAGACTTAAGTGTAGTATTCGGTTAGCAATGACAGATAAATGTGTATCTATCAATCTATGCATCCATTCATCCATCTACTTGGGAAATTTTCACTGTATATTCAACAGAGTGAATATACCCATAACCTTAAATGCTTCCCCATTTCCCTGGATTGTCCTTATCTATTATACTGCTATGTTTTTTGTCACTGTTCAATACTTGCATTTTCAAGAATAGGTGCAAATTGAGTCACTCAATCGTAGTTATTTATCTTCCCTGATGTACTTATTTTGAATTTCATGTTGCTGTGTGTATTGATAGGTTGCTATTTTATTATTGAGATAGCATTTTGATGTGTGAATAAACAATAATAAGCTCATCTATTTACCAGGTGATGGATATTTTTTTCTTATTGGGAGTTCTACGAAATATAGCATGAATATCTGTGTGCAAATATTTTTTGCAACTCTATAGTTTAATTTATTTGAGTAAATAAATGATAATGGAATGTGTGGATCCTACTAGAGATAATGGATTTTGAGTTCTTAAACTAAAATTAGGTGGCCACCCCACCTAATAATGCATTTTGGGTTCTTAGACTAAAATTAGGTGGCCACTCCACACATCACCTTACAGTTTGTCAAGTAGCATTTTCTGGATTGTTTGTTTTGCTTTGTGGTGTTGGTAGGGTTTGGACGACACCTCACGGTGCTCTGGTCTTCTGATTCTGCTTAGGCTTCACTCCTAGCAGTGCTCAGAGATAGAACTAGGGTTGGCTGTCTGCAAGGTAGCTTATCCTCGGTACTATTTGTCCCACCCTTTTATTTTTTAAATTCAGGTCACATTGATTTACCACATTGTGAATTTTAGCAACACAGTTTCGTCCTTCACTAGTTGTATGTTAGTGCACCACACCCATCACCAAAGTTCCAAGTGTGTACTTTCTTTTACAGTGTTCGAACTTCATCTTCCTAATGGATAATATTTTTGAGCTTCTTTCCTTGAATCTTACTGCTGTCTGGGTATCTTCTTGGTGAAAAAGCATATCCAAGTATTAAAACTAATTTTCTACTGATGGATTTGGAAAATTTTTATATAAATTCTGTGT